ATATATATAATTAATCCAAAACTAAAAATTTATACCCAACTTTAAAAATTGTTTGGATACAACTATCCAAATATAAAAACTAAAATTGATGAAGTGGGCTGGCTACTCAATCAGCTGGTGTTATTGGTTCACCTCTTGTTCTGGCACATTGTCTGCAACCTGGGCACTCCTAGCTACCTTCGCTTCCTCTTTGTCCACCGCAAAGAATTCAAAATCGAAGTTTGGAGGATAAATAATGCGACCTTCGTTATCCTGATTCCACTTTTTTTTGGCATAGGGATGGAAATCAGCTATATTGTTATCACCATTCTCCTCCACACCTCCCTCTTGATCCTTGAAGGTGATGCTTGTCACATCCACTTCGGGATGCTATGCCTTCACCTTTTTGCTGTCGTCCATGAATGTTAGAAGTGCGATAGGTAGCCAATAGAGGTTCACAATGTTTTCAAAGGTGCTAGACTTCAAGAACTTAAAGATGTGCCCCTCTATCGCATTGTGAACCCATAGCTCCCTGTTCTTTTCGAACTTGGCAATAGCCTTCGTTATTTCATCAATTGATTTGTCTCTATTGGACAACTTGTCTTCACAAATTTTTCTCTTTTTCTCCTTTAGCTCAGTAGCTTTCTTTAACGTGGTATTCTCTCCTCGAAGCTTCTTCAGTTCTGAGGTTAACTTTTCCATGTTTTTCTCTGCTTCATCCTTTCGCATGTCGAGTTCCTCATTCTCCTTCTCCAATTTGTTTTACTCCTTAAGATTGTCAAAGAATTCGTTCAATACCACGTTTACAAGATTGGCAGCTTGTGTTAAGAACCGAAGTTAAAAAAAACAAAAAACAAAAAAAAAAAAGAAAAAACAAAAAAAGAAGGAAATGAATCATACCTCACGGACATGGCGAACAACTCCTACACCATCATGAGCTACCACCTCATCCCTTACTCGATGTCGATCCATTTCAAGAAAGGTTGAATTGATAAACCTCTTTATAGTCATCCTACTACTAGATTCGAAAAAGTTGAAAATTTGCAGTGGAAGGCAGATGTGACTTTTCCCCCTTCCATGTGTCACCACCCTAACCTCCCGAAGGGTTAGATCAATCTCAACGAGTGGTGGACAAGGCACGAACTCTAACACCTCCTCCCTTCTCTTCTCCTACTGCTCTTCTACTCTTCTCCTCTTTTAAGCAACAACCTTGTTTTCCTTTTTCCTCCTTATGGGCTCAAATCTTTACCTTTCAATTATGGAAGCTTAGGCCAATGTGTTGGATGGCTAAGCTTTAAACTTACCACCTCCAGCTCGTTCTTGGACCTTGACTATCACAGAAGCCTTTGTCTTTTTCTAGGGCATGGCAACACCCCCAATAGTGGACAGAAACTGATTCCTCTCGACTATAAAACAAATAAAAGTTAAAATTTTAGTCAGAACTTAATTCCAAATAACACAAACATAATAAACACACACATCCGCTAAGCAAGCTCGCTTCGTAGAGCTCTACAGCATCGATAGCATTTGAGCTAATGAGATATATAATGTCTATGACATTATCATCTTCCTTTATCAACTTCTCCACTTCTCTAATCTCATCCTCATTCAAACAATACTTATTCTAATTTATTTTCTTCGGCTTCTAATTAGCCAAAACCTCCACCTCTGCATCCATCCTATTCCACTCTATATCATCAGCAAAAAAGTACTTATCTTTCTATCCCTTGATGGAAGAGGATCTTGAACTAAATAACTTGCTTCTTTTCTTGTTGGAAACCCAGGGTGTAAAATAATACCAACCCTTCTCCTTTTTATTCTTTGAGTTTATTACGAAAAAATGCTTAAACATATTCACTATAGGCAACCCAACACCCAGAGCTCGATAATAAACTAGAAATGTTATAACCTCCAAGATCGTGTGGGGAACAAGCTGTGTCAAACCTATATTGTAATCCAACAGCAACCCAACTAATAGTTCAAGGATAGGGAACCTAAGCCCAACCACTAAATAATGGGCATATATGGGCATCCAGTGGTCCCTTAATGCTGAGCATGCCCTTTTTCCAGCACCAACTAGCTTAATCAACACATGAGGTTGAATACCATACGTATCAACTAGACGAACTAAACTACTCCTAGTTTACCATGCAGCTTCATTCCCCATCACCTCAAAAACAATTTCTATTGATTCATCATAACATTTGTCTCGACCACTCTTTATTTCCAAAATAGTGGAGAGAACACCTATTTCATCTTCTGCCTCCTCCTCACTCCATTTAGTCCCACAAGAATCTACTTCCACCTCTTCATCCTCATACTTCATTGCCTTGACCTCCTCATTTCCCCCAACACTCAAAGTTTCCTCTGAAGAGATGTCCTTTATCTCGTAACTCTCACTGCACAGTGTAGCAAGTGGGATGTAGTTAGGATCTTCAATAAATTCTAACTCACATTCTATTTCACTTTCACTCCTAACCCTAACCTCTTTAAAAGGACTTAAATCTAAATCAAAAAGTATAAGAGGTAAACACGACTCTTCACTAGTGTTTGAAATAAAGTCATGTAAGTTACCTCATCTTGGCTGTGATGAACTCAAGTACTTGTGCAAATAACTCGAAGTTGATAGCTGAAGCTTGAACACACAAAAGCTTGATAACTATGGTAGCTTTGGTGAAATTTTGGCAGCACTTTGGTAGCAAATACAACAAAATAACAAAATTTTACACAAGTATGGCTATATATACTAATATGTTACAAGCCTTAACAGCCATGATTAACTCCATTTGATGTTTAGGATTGCACCCTTTTGAATTCGACGGTTATTTTCCATAGCCTATATTTATTACCACTCATTCTCTAATGACAGCTTTTGGCTAGCATAATAACCTCTTCTTAGGCTCATTCAATAGGCCCAACTAGGCTCAGCTTAGGTCCTTTCAGTTACTCCAACACACGTAATGCCTCCAAAGTTTTTTATTTCTAATTTTTATTTCAGCTATGACCAAAAACACATGACTATGTTATAAATTTTTATCTCAACTATGGTCAAAACACATGACTATGTGTCATAAATTTTTATCTTGGCTATGACCAAAAACACGTGACTATATATCATGAATTTTTACTTCAGTTATAGCCAAAACACACATGACCAGGTGTGATGGAGTCTTACTTTGCCTAGATGACCCTCATTCTTATAATGGCCATTGGCAATCCAAACACTTATTTCACTTCCATCTCCAATTAGATTAACCTCCCAACTTAATCATTCACAAGCGAATGACTTAAGAGGGGGGAATAGTGTAAGGATGGGTCTGAGGTCATCAATCTCGGACATACTATGTGTTTATTAAACTCGAACCACTCCCTAAATTGTTGAGTTTAGTTACTTAATAATCGAGGTAAGATTTAAGTTGAGTTCTTCCTAGTTGCATGGTAATTATAGTGAGACCGCCCTCACCTAATCCTCCATTCCCAAGATCCTCGCCCTCTTAGACATGTTAGATCCCGATTATTTCATTAAGCAAGCCACATGGGTACCTCATTAAGGCTTATAAATACCTCCAAGGGTCACTTCCAAAAGATACTTGAAACCAACTTAAAGTTTTCCTTCCATTCTTCTTTAAGAGTAAATCAAATTATTTCTAACTTAAGCATTGGAGTGTCTATCCCGAGGACCAACCTTAGAGCTTTGCAGGTTTGTTTGAGAAGAAGACTTGGACTAAGAAGGACTCATTGGTTTGTTGCAATTACATATAGGCTATAGGAGTTTGGTGATCAGTTCGATAACCTTACCTTAGTATTGTTATCCATGTTAGTGAATTTCACTAGCATATTTTTGTGCACACATTACTGATTGTATTATTAAGGGAAGCATAACTAAAGAGATCTTTGCCGACATATTACATAATGATGCACTATTTTAGCAACATATTGTAGGCTTTCAGCAACATGCTTGCATGTTACTTATATTTTACACTTTAGTAGTATTTTCTACTTTAATTCTATCCTTATCTATTTACTTTAATTAATCATTCTATCACAAAAAGTCTATCTTTATCTTTATCTCTTTTTTAAGGATAATGTATGATAAATATATAAATGCTCATATTTTAAATTTTAAAAAATAAAAATAAAAATAAAAATATACAGTCATTTTGGAAGAGAGTGAGAGAGTAATTATTTTTTTTAATATAATTTTGTCGTAAATTAGTTATGGTTTTTTAATTTTCTAATTCTAATCGATAGTTATGGCTTTAAGTTAATATCAACCTTAGTACCAAATTCATCTAATTCATCTATTCATCTATATGAGGAATGGCAACTCAAAACTTCTTACTTATAATTTATATAAAAAATTTCAAAAAAATTTATATTACATATAAATGTGTAAATTATTAAAGTTTCTTGTTTTACAATTGTATTATTATTATTATTATTATTATTATTATTATTATTATTATTATTATTATTATTATTATTATTATTATTGATCTCATACTCCAAACTAGTGACTAAAACACTTGGTTAGTGCAAATCACCTCCTATAAATTGTGTTTTTGAATCCCATAGATCCCTTTTCTCCAATCCCTATTTATCTAAATATGTATTAATTTGCTTTTATGCAAAAATAATAATTATTACTACTATTATTTGATACGTAGAAATCAAGAATTAAAACATAAAAATATAATTAAAATTATAAATAATTTTACTATCAAATTATATAACAGATGGTTTTACAATTACATTACATCTTACTATAAAATAAAAAATCTTGGATAGTGAAAAAATCAACATAAATAGTCTACCTCTTCTAAAATACTTTCATCTAATAAAGTTGACCTTGTCTAATTTGATACAGACTGCACATCATTTTTTCCAAGTATCATCTGGATAAGATCCGTACAAGAGCCCATGTAAATGGTTATAGCTTTTCACCCCAAAAAAAGAGAACAAAAAAATTGTTATAGCTTTTCACCCCAAAAAAAGAGAACAAAAAAATTGTTATAGCTACTTAGTGCTCACTGGCTGCTCATTGCTTTAGGCTCTGTGTTTTAGCTCGACTTCCAGTCATTTCCTCACTGTCCTAAGCTTTAGGAAGCTTTTTTTCTCTCTCTCTCTCTCTCTTTCTTTTCTCAAAAACGAGGTTTTTCCTTTTTGGGTCCAAAGACTGAAAGACATGCATGCTGTGATGAAGAAAACCAGATTCTGCTGATGTAAAGAAAGTAAAAGGGGTTGTTGCTTATAAGTTTTGCTGTAATTAATGGGTGGTGAAGAAAACTGGGGAATGGTTAAACCAACTGTGGCCCCGTTGAATTTACAGAGGGAGGATCAGTGGAGGCATTTCGACAACTCGGTGAATGCGGTGTCGTTTGGGTTCGTAGCCACCGCAATTCTCATTTCTATGTTTCTTGTTATGGCTATCTTTGAGAGGTTTCTCCGGCCAAGATCACTGCCTTCCAATTCTAATGCTAGGACCCGTACCGATCTCGAAGCACAGATGGTGTTCGACCGAAAGCCTCAGTACCCTTCTCCTAAAGTACGATCTCTCTTTCTCTCTACCACATATATTCATATGCATAGAATTTCCCTCGTTTCTTCCTCTAACTAAGAAATGCTGCAACAGGGTATAAGAAGAAAATACAAAAATGGGTGATGGAGGATTTTGGAAAATACATTTTTTTTTTTCCTTTTCCTCTATTTTTGCGTTTCTTTCTTGATTTTTTCTATGCTGCAAACATAATGAGTGGGCTTGGAAGCTTGATTGTGGCCGTTCATTTTCTTTACCTCTCTGTGTGATTGTAGTTGGTTTTCTATGGTTTGACTGGTCATTACCTCATCTAGAGAAATGGTGCATAAAATGAATTGGTTATCCATCATGCAAATGTTTTTCTCTTTGTTTCTTGGCTATGTTTTGGTTGTTTTTCACACACTTCGCTATTATTAGGGTGTTACGGATTAGGAGATAATCATCTCTGATCAATTTTGCTACCTCACACTAGTGTTATGACTTGGGACTTCTGTTTTCTTAATGAGGTAGCTAAATTAATGATGATGAATGGTTATAATGTTCTCTAATAGTAACGTCTTAATTTGTGTTTACTTAATTTATTTCTGAATTTTCTTTTTCTAAAAAAAAATTATCTTGTGACCAAAGGGCATATTCCTTCCTTGATAGGAGAAAGTTATATTAGGGGCCCATCTGCTCTAAAAAACTATGCACGCCTCCAATTTGATATACTTCCTAGCCCCTAGGTGATTGCCCATGTTGACAATTTGGTGCGTCCCCTTCTCTTATTGAGAATATTTATTTATTTGTCTCACTTGGAAACAAGAATGAATTTTAGTAAACAAACTTTTTTTGCTACTTATAATCCCAAGACAAGTTAGTTTCAGAAACAAGGGATTTGTAGCTTAAATCAAACCCAAAGTTATTATTTTCAGTAATCTTGTATAGGATAGTGTCTCAAATTTTGTGCATCTAGTACTAGTGGGTGAAATTTAAAGCCATTAGCAGACATGTCTTGTATAATCTAGGGTGATAGATGATAGATTTAGTTGATCATTACAGTATTTAATAACCTTGCTGATTGAAGGTTTGATGGCTTAATTTGTGGACAGGTGGACAGGTCATACTAATTAAACTATTCATTGTCACTGCCTAAGATGACTAAGATGGTTTGTACTCTGTTGGCCTGCAATAGCTGAAGTATTGTATTCTAATATTGTATCGGTTGCGGCATTCTAAAGCAACAATATTTTGATTATCATGAGATCTAGGAATGAACAATATCATCCCAAAGTATGTTTCTATTATCATAAGAAATCAAAGGATTATATATTAGTTTTTCCCAACTGTTCTTGATAAATCTCTGCATCACTTTGTCTGTTCTTATGTTGAATGAAGAAGGTTTTATTAATGTTACAGTGATTGTAGAAACTCAAGAAACCTCATCCTAGCATGATCTGCTGCCAATGTTTATCATGCTTCTGTTTGGAATCTTGTCAATCAATTTTTGGTTTAATTCCATTTGTTTTTTCTGGATTTTTCCATGAAAAACAGGTCTCTTATTTCTCTGTCTGATTCATTTTCTTTTCCTTTCATACCTCATTCTGTTCTTTTATCATGACACAAGTTGAAAACACATAATTCATTTGTCTGTCTTCACTGGTTTATTTGATCTAGTGAGTGCAATATAGAATCATCAGAATTAACGTTGTAAACTTTAGCTCAAAGTTTTCCCAACTTTATTTAAGTTTCACATCCTATTGCTTCCAGTTCGGTTGGCATATATCAAGCTCCTCAAGTCCTTAACAGTTGAATAGCCGAGTGAGTTCTTTTAGACAAATGCTACCTCTTTTGGGTGCCATCCCATTTTTCTTGCTTCTTGTCAACAACTGCAGTGGCACAATAGTCAAACTTTGCCATTCTGAATTATTGCTTGGATATTTTGGTTCACTCACCAATTGCCAACATTATCACCTGATATGTGCCTCTTTTGATAGGTAAAATTCTAAAGTAACTTAACCTGTTTCCAAATGGTTTCTACCTTCCTTATATTGGCATGGTGCATCTCCTCATCTGTCCTCGTTGAATTAGAAATTTAATAATAAATCATCTGTATGGGAACCTGCAGCACTGATTTTGCTAATTGTCAACACTAGACAAGCACAATGTAAGTTTCTTTCCTTTTTGATATTGTGCACGATGGAATTTGGTTGTTAGAGAACCTTGATTTGTGGAAAGAGGTGTAGAATCTGCAGACAGTGGAATTATTTTACTGGGCAAAAGTGCTTGCTGGGAACTTGTTCTTTTATCTACCTCCAATATTTTATGTTCTATGCCTGCATCCCAAGAATAGAAAAGGTTTCTGTTTGTTTGTGATTGGCAGCTATTATCAACTTCCTTGGTTATTATACAACAAAAAATTCATCCCTAATTCAGAGTTGTGTCATCTTTCCACAATGAAAATCCAAACATTATCCCCATAATAACTACCTGTTCTGGCTTTCCAATATGCTCTATAATCTGCTGCTGTGTGGGTTTATGTTCCAATATCCTCTTACTCGCATTCTTCTTATTATTATTATTTCTACAGATGACAATTTACTCGAAAGGGGTATCAGTCCTGATGCCAGGCGAGGAAACACCTACCTTCATTGCACATCCTGTTCCGGCACCATGTCCTCTAGACCGTTGCTTACAGCCTACTCATGAACAATAGCCAATGCTTAATCTCAAGCAACCTAACATCACTCGAGACTAAATCAACCAAGAGCAAAACCACAGTATTCCACAATTTTTTGTTATGACCTATGCCAAAACTTAATTCAAGTCCATACATTGTGAACGTGAAATACCCTACGTTGTCTTTGCTTAAGCTTGGCAGCAAAATGAAGCCGAAAAAGATGCAGGCATTTCGATATTTGTATATTTGCAATTTACTGAAAATGGCACGCTGGTTTTGCGTATTAAAATTTTATGATTCAGCAGCATGCTTCATATTTTGTTCTTCTTGGTGGATTCTTTAGCTTGTAAATGATTGCAGTAGAAGTGTACCCCAATTTTCAGACTGTCCTTCCACTGACATAAAAAATTTTAGGTTAAATTACAATTTTGGTCCCTCAACTTTAGGATTTTATAAAATTTTTAGCTTTTAACTTTTTTATATTTTTTTAATTATTCAACTATAAAAAAATGTATTTTTTTTATCTTTCTATCAGTTAATTTAATTCATTAAATTTATTTATATACCAAAAAAATTCATTAAATTTATTTAAATAAGTACATTTTTAATTTCTTAACTTGTAATATATGCATTTTTTTGTCTTTCAATTTAAAAGTTTAAGGACTAAATATATATATGAACGATTTAATAAATTAATTGAGGGAATGGTTAAAAAAAATATCTATTTTTTATAATAGAAGGATTAAAAGTGTATTAAAAAAGTTAAGAGACAAAAATTATGTAAAATTCTAAAATTGAAGGACCAAAAATTAGTATTAACCAAAATTTTATTATTAACACTGACATGAGTTTTTTCTCTTTTCTCTTTTCTCTTCTTTTAAATGATTTTAGTTGAGTTGGTAACGTTAATTGAGTAAATATTTGCATTTTTTTTCTTTTTTTGATAGACTTAATGATAAAATAGACAACATAAAATAGTGTTCTCTTGTTTCCCAAAGCCCTCGTAGCTGTTTGGAGTTTGGAGTTGGACATCACTTGTAGATAGGCGGAAAGTACAATTCAGCTCCTATACTTGCAATGTTGTCCTGTACCTAGAAGTAGTGCGGTCAGCCCCTGTACTATTCAGAATCCACATATCAGCCCTTTAGTTAACTAGGACATCATAAAGCGTAATCTTTTCGTCTGCCTGTCAATTGTTTCGTTAATAAGGGATGAGTTGGTGATGACTTGGACAAAAAATTGATTTTTTAAAGATAAATTAGTATTTAATTAGTTATTAAATCAAAATATTTGTCACTAACTTCATCTTCTTCCCCAATCACTCTTTTTTCTGAGTCATCTTCCTCTACTCTGGTTTTCTTTTCCTTCCTTTCACTCTCCTTTTTCTGATGCTTCTCTCGCACCCTTATACTCTTGAAATCTATTTCTCTTCTTGCTCTTCTTTCTATTCCTTATCCCTCTCTAGATCTAGGTGATAAAACCCAAACTTTCAAGTTCAATCAAACCCAGATTGAACTAGATATTTCTGGGTTCTTGGAAGGAGTAATTGTTGGAAAGAATTCACAGTTGTTTTAATTGTACCTTTGCTGATCTCAGCCTTGCCGGAAACTCATGTTGCTAGCTGTGCTTCGTTGGTCCTCTTTTCCAAATCAGGTAGTGCTCTAACTTGTGATTCGCATCTTTTGTTTAATGTTGAAATTGAGATTAATTGATTGTTTAATTCCCTATAAATATGTGTTGTACGTTATCTTCATTATCTAGCTTGGATTGATGGAAGGAATATGGTTTGAGACTCTCCAATTACTGCTCTAGTTTTCATATTTATTCAGTTGAGAGCTCTGCTGATTTTGGGTTTCTATATTTGTTGAATTTGTAATTGATGGATTAAGATAGGACTATGAATTGAAATCATATTGAGGAAGGAGGAATAGCAGAGGAACTTGGTCTTTTATTTTAAATTTCCCAATGTTTATGAATTTTGAGCTTACAAAAGCTTCTCCCTACATTTTTTTTTTTTTTTTTTTGTGATTTCTGATTTTTGTGCTTAATTTTAATTTGATTTTGTTTAGCCCTATCCCCAAATCTGTTTCTTTTGCTAAGATTTTTGCCTTTCCTCTTGATATTCTTGCCCTGTGATCTTCAAGGATGATGAAGGCTACGTAGTTTTTTTTTTTTTGTTTTTGCCAAGTCACGTGTTTAAACCGAAGTCAACATTTTGTTAACGGAGTAACAAAAACACAGACGGAAAGTTGATGTTTCTGACGTCATCCTTAACCAAAGGGCTTATATGTGGATTTTGAATAGTAGAGCGGTTGACCTGCACTACTTTTAAGTACAGGAGCTGATCTGCCGCAACATTGTAAGTACAGGGATTGAATTGCACCTTCTGCCCTTGTAGGTAGGACAAATATTGGGTCAAGCAGTTTAGCCATTTTATTTAACATTTATTTATTTATTAGTTAATAGTCTTGAGTGAGCTTACATGCATCTTAAAATTATTTTTTTTTATTTTGTCAAAGATAAATTATTAATATTAATATTAAAAAATTAATAAAAAAATTTTTTTTATTAATTTTCCTAACTAAACAAATGTTATAATAAAGTAAATACAAACTCTTTTACAATCTAATCTAACCAAATCCATAGAAGCTCTCTCTCTCTACCTTCTTCTCCTGCTTCTGACTACCTTCCCTTGCGTTTTCGTTGTTTTGAGATCGAAAGCCCTTGGGCTTTTGAGTTTTTGATGCTTGAGCCGTCAGGATCTCCAGCCGCTCAAGCATGATGGAGCCGGTTTCGTGCTCTCTATTTTGATGACCCGCTGTGGTCTGTCGGTTCGTGGGCCTTTTCTGGTGGCCTTCTTTTGGTTTTTTTGTTTTCCTGTTTGTTTTCTTGGTTTTCTGTTTTCTGTTTTCCTTGTTTGCTTTCAGATCCGACGGCCCACTTACCCATCACGCAGATCTCTGGAGATGCTCGTTGGTTTCCCCAGATCTGGCGGCCATCACACTTCTCATGATGCTGAAGGGGGATGGTCTCCGCCTGTGTGGGTTTCCCGCCTCGGCGTCTTGGAGGCTTGGCGCAACTTCTTCATGAGTAGATTGAAGGGTGTCTCGTTTGCTGGATCGTTCGATCACCGAAATTTGTACAGCTTGTTCCTTGTGGTTGTTCGAGTGTACTGTTCACCTCCCTTCATCCTCTGCAAAATGGGTCTACTCTACCTTTTCTCTCCAGATGTTTTTCTTTGTTTGTTGTTTTCTCTTATCTGTTCGCTAAGATTTTGCTGTAGATGCCGTATGGCGGTGATGTAATGGGAAGTTCTCATTGCGTTAAAAAAAAAAGAATCTTTTATAATCTAAGTCTAAGCTGTCATTCATTAGTATTTAACATTTTATTTTTTATTCTCATACCTTCCTGTCTAGGTCTAAATAAATTAGCAATGCTTACATCAAAAAAAAAAATTAGCAATGCATCAGCCACGTTTATTTATCCCTTGTAAGCAACCAGAACTAGACTTTGAGCAACAACAAACATGGGACAGGAAATTGCCTAGACCTACTTTCTCGTACAAATGTGCCCCTTGCTCATTAAACCCAACCAGACAACCCTCCTTGTGTCCAAATCCAATGCTGCAGTTAACATCATCACCAAGAAAGGAAATGGGGAAAGGAAACCATCCATCCTAGTCAGTCTCCCATCCCCAAAAGAAGATGCCATATATTTAACTTCAGCTCAAAGAAAAAAAAAAGGAAGATGCCATGTGCCTAGGCCAGAGTGCTAGTCTCTCCCAAATCTCAAGATCTAGGAAAACAAAATGAAAATTTTCTTAAAGATCTTCCTAACCCTTAGGTTTTATATTTCTTTCCTTTAGTTTATATAATGGTATTTTTAAATATTTTATTAATTATTAATTAATAAAATTAAATAAATTTAAAACACTTTTAATATCTTGTGGGGTAATAACAGGGCCCGAAGTCATGCCCATCACTCATTTGTATTTATCAGTGATATTTTTGCCACCAGAATGACTAAAACTCCTCTTGACAGAAAAATAACTCAATTAGGTAAATATTTAACATTTTAATTTAAAGATTTTATGAATTAGGTGAATAGCGTTTAAAAAAAAAGAAAAAAAAAAGAGAAAGGTCATTCTTTCTTTATATAACTCACTAAGAGAAATGTGGTTATAAGTACATACTATTTTGTTTAGGTCAATAGATATTTTTAATTTGATTGATTTTTATTAATTTATAATATTTTTTGTAAATAATTGATTATTATATTTCAAAATATTAATTTGTAAATTTAATTTAATTTATTAAATAATAATTATTAATTATTTTATCAATCATTAATTATTTTTAACAATTAAATTATAATAAATCATATAACCTTAACATCATCGCATATCAGCGCAACCACACCTCATTCGGAGATATTCTAAAAAAATTATCATCCTTTATTTGTCCCCAACCATATTTTGAATTTTTTTATTTTTATTTTGAAATAAATAAATAAAACAAATATTCTTTGCCCTATACAACTCGTCTCTTAAACCCGTTGCCCATTACTTTATCGATAATTTAAATGAAGAAAAAAAAAAGTGAAGTAATTAAATTTATGGGGTACCCATTTACATTGCAATTTACATGAAATCAAAGGGATCGGATAATTTCATAAAACATGAAAATAGCCCCCTTTTTTTCCGAAGAGTAACAATTTTTCATAGAAAGATGAAACACTCCAACGAAACAAGAGGATTTTCAAACAAAGCATTCCCCCATCTTCTCTAAAACGATACCGTTTTCGTCCTCTTCCTTCTGCGCTGTGCTCATCGACTTCCCACTTGCTTTCCCGGAGGCCTTCGCCGGACTCCTCTTGACCACGGAACCCCTACCCGTCCCCATTCCGGCTGCCCTCCCGGTCGCCGGTGACGTCGACTTCGAAACCACAGTACGCTGTGTAGTCCTCATCTCACCCGATTGTCCCATTCCTCTCCCTCACCCCCGGGCCTTCTTCTCCGACGATGTCTCCAATCTTCTCGTCCGGACTCTTTCCGAGTCTACATTATATGGATGCTTCTTTGGAACCTTTGCTGGAGACCTCTTACTGACTTTCTTCCTTTGTTTGCTCGTCGCTTCATCTTCGTTTATATCTTTCGTCCCCGTGGTCGCTGTCGGCGATGCTGAGATGGTCTCCGTCACGCTGTAAATCTCCGATACGTACGTGAAACCAGAGACCTCTTCTTCCAGTGTCTGCACTGCAAATTGCTGCTTTTCTATGGAATTTAAATCTTTTGATTCGATTTCTGATTCTTGGGTAACCGCATTTGGGTCTTTTCCTGTTGTTTGATGTGGATCAATGGCGCTTCAGATATTACTAATACCTCTTTCACCGTTTCTTTTACAGGAGAAGGAAGCGACCGTGCTGGGTTTTGATGAGATTTTGAAACCGGAGGTTTTGGGGGCAAATGTTGGGTTTTGGAAGAATTTTGCCAATTTGGATCTGTTTTGACAGAGGTGGCGGCGGCGGTTGCGGAGGAGCAACGGTGTTGATGGCTTGAAATTTTGGCCTTGGCAAAGGCCCTATGGTAATGGGAGGGTTTATATAATTAAATATACGCTTTTGTATACTTTCATTTACTGATTTTCTAACGTATGCCTCTAGCTACAATTAATATATCGTTAGGTAAAAATTAATATCCTTTCTTTAAAATTAATTTACATAAAAAATTATAAAAATTACAAGTGTAATTACGGAATCTTTTTGCAATTATTTTTATATAAAAAAGTGTAAATGTTGATTTTAATTTAATCAATTAACTGAAATTATTCATATATCAATAGTGTTAAAATAAGTTCCATTTATTTTAATTAAGGTGCATTATTTATTGTTACATTGGATTAATTTGCATGCATCTGATTTTATAAATAATTAATTATGTGATCTGACAATAAAGTTGCATATACTATTAACCATATATCTAAACTTTTCGATCCTTTTGGGAGGGTTAAGGGAAGTGTTGTTTAGAATTGTAAGCTTTTCCGAGGGTAGGAGCCGTTAGGGAGACCATGCGAGCTGTTTAAGGATGTAATTATATTAGCCATTTGGAATTGGAGAACTAATTATCACGGTTAATGAATGCTGTCCTAGAGTTGCTGGGTGGCAGGGCTCCACAGTGGACCCAGGATTTTCATTAAACTGTCACAGAGCTTCTCCTTTTGGTAGATAGATTCCATTAGCCTATGCTTGTATAGTGGAAATGCAGAATGAGAGGCATACGGTGCACTTAAAAAATGAGGCTACCATGAAAAATTTATTCATGGGTGGGGTAAGCTTTTCTATTCTGTTTTATGGTTCTCTTGGTTATATGGTTCATTCGGAGGAGAGATCGAGCTTCAAGAAATAGTAAATTGCCTTATCAACACACAAATGTATAACTCCTTAAGAATTTCAATTGCGCTTACATTAATCACCGTAATAATTGGGTTCATGCTCTCCCCGGTCCCTTCTCATCAATGGACCCTCAACGTATGCGAAGAAGTGCAGTTTGTTCAGACCACATGTATGGAAATGGGTATAAGCTTTTCAGAATGCATTGGTTAGTATCTTCATGCTCTAGAGCTGAAGTTATACATGGAAAACCACCAGGAAAAAGAAGGTAATAGTAGCTGATAATTACAACAAATTCAATTATACAATTGGAATGAAACAGGAGGGGTCAAAAACATGGGTGGCCACAAGCAAATATCTTCTCTAACTATTTGCCTTGCAATTTGCCGAGGCATATTGAGCTGATGATGAGTCATGATCATTCAGACAATATCCCCCGGATTATTTTGTGGGAAGCTAAGAAGAGGAAGCTGCACGATCAGATTCTATCATGGATTTGATATAGAATTCCCCAGCCTTGTATGATGACCTGACCATGGGACCAGATGCCACATATCGAAACCCCTAATCCATACAAAGGAGAAGGTTCAAGCAAGTGTAAAGTCAGTATGTAAAGTAAACGATATCTCAGTTTCAAGTACAATGATCCAAGCACAGACAAAGGACTGATCTCAACATTCATACATGCAAACATAAGATCGAGTATAGATTGACATATAACTGATACAAAAGAAAGATATCAAGACATGGTTATTGTATCCCTGTAAACCCAATACCGTGCAGCATATTAAACTCTTTCATGTACCAATAGGAAAACCAAAAAACAATTCCATGAATTAAATTTAATAAACAAATATAATAGACATAGAAGTAATTGCGGCTTTAAGAAAAATACAGGTCACTGACAACTGAAAAAGTGATAAATCTTGAGCCCACTTTGTAGTAAGATTTAGAGTTATCATACAGTCCTAAGGAAATTAATAAACACCTCCAAAAAAAAATTAAATAAAGATATTCTTAAAAGGAGGGGCAAAATTCAAGAGAAAATATCAATCTAATAATCAAGCCCAAAGTCTAGTCTACAGTAAAACACAAAATAGTGTCGAATTCATTTGCCCATCTAAAACATTGGCAGACCAAATGTCCTTTAGTAGCTTGATTGCAAAACACCCTTAAAAATGTAGAGGAAAACATGCTAAGGTTCTTAAATACCAAAATAGCTGCCTAACAAGCTTCCCATTTATCATTACTGGTTCAACTTCTGCCCAGTTTCAAAAATACTTTTCAAGTTTATGCCTGCTTCTCTAAGCAGCCATTTGGGAATTTTCCCTTCAGAAAGAAGGGATCAAGCTAATGCTACTGCATTTGAGTTAAGAAAATGAGGATGTGAAGTATGAAAATTAGACTATAGTAACAAAAATCAGTAGCAAAACATTTGTTTACCTAAGTTGAGGTCTGGACAAACAAAACCATGAATATGAAATTAAAATACAGTAAAAATTTTCAAATAAAACCAATAAAAAAAACAATGCATACCATTTCCATGCCAAGAGCTTGATACTTCTCAAAAGCCTCGGGAGTAATGTATTCTGACACTGGCATGTGACGCTTTGATGGTCTCATGTATTGACCAAAAGTCATCACATCAACACCTGCTGCTCTAACCTTCTCCATTGTCTTCACAACTTGATCAGGTGTTTCCCCACACCCTAACATTATAGAAGTCTTGGTAAGTGTCCCAGTAGGAGCATAATCTTTGGCCATTATTAGGACATCCAAAGATGGTTTAAAATTTGCACGGTGATCACGAACAACACTTTGAAGTTCTTCAACTGTCTCAATATTGTGAGCAAATACATCTAGTCCAGATTTTGCAACTTTCTCTACACAGCCAGAGTCTGCTTGAAAATCAGGAACTACACAAAACAGTGAATGTACCATTAGCCACAGCTACAGCAGCAGGAATTCACTCAGAATGAGAACTTCAAGAGATGAAAATGTGCAAGAAGAGTGCTTCTTAATTTATTTTCCAACAGGCACACTTTTATACACCTAGACACCTATGATTCCTGAACCGCATTGCCTAATAAGAATTTTAGTTTAGTTCCAAAAGGCCTCTATTTTTTTCGTAAGTTTTATATGCATGGATTGCACCAAATAGATAACATTACAATAAATGATCTCAAAAATGATAGACCTAACAACCAGGCTTGGCATAGCTGTTGCTCCCCACTCCACTAGGAGGAAGAGGTCCAGGGTTCAAACCTCCCATAGCCCTACTCCCTTTTAAGATGTATCCTACTCTTACAAAGGAACAGAATAAGAGAAAAGCATTTAATCTGAGTTATCATTGGATACATTAATTAAGCCAAGAACCATGAAACAGAGTAATTCTTACCCAACGCTTCTATCAACATATTTGGTTTCAGTGCCTTCAACTTCTGCACAGTCTCTGCAAAATGACCACTCCCTTGATCAGGCAAATCATCCCGGTCCACACTGGTAATCACAACATAATCCAAACCCCAGGAAGCAATTGCCTCAGCAACATTTTCTGGTTCATTTGGATCTGGTGGAGGAGGTGTCCGAGATGTCTTCACATTACAGAACCTGAATTTTGTAAACATTCATTAAACTCAGAACATACCAACATGTGCATCACCAATTCTTCACCTTGATGATTTAACAAAATAGCAAAACTTAATCTTGCTTCCACAATTCATATTTGCAATTATTCTGCAATTAATAATGGCACTGCTGAAAAACTTTCTCTAGTAAAATGTGCAAAGACAACACGGATAGTTCACCTGCAACCCCGAGTACAAGTATCACCCAAGATCATTACGGTGGCAGTGGCCGTCCCCGTCTCGCCACCGGACCAGCATTCGCCCAGATTGGGACATCTCGCCTCCTCGCACACAGTATGCAGCTTCAAGTCCCTCAGCTTCTTCTTAATCTGAACGTATTTCTCGCCACCAGGGACCGATTCCTTCATCCATTTGGGTTTCGGAAGGAGTTTCTTCTTGGTCCCAACTTCCACAGAATACTGGTTGGTATCCTGGAGGCCAATGAAATCGGAAAGAACCGGAGATTCGGAGGCCAGACGGGCCCGGAGACCCGCCAAGGTTCTGGGGAATTCGGGGTTGTTGGGGGTCTCGACGGCGGAAGAGAAATGTCTCCGCTTTTGGATGGAGGATTTGAGGGCGCAAGCTAGGGAACTGAAGCGGGATTGCATCATCTCTCGCTGCAGTTTTTGGGTCTGAGGATGTCTGAGAGTGGAAGAGGAGCAGAGATTTCCGATGACGACAAGGTTTTGTTCTGGTTTTGCTCGGGTGGTTGGTAATCATCGGTTTCAGTTTCAGTTTCAGTTTGAGGGCCTGTCGTCCTGTCCTGGGCTGGAAGCCCAGATTTTCAAGCCCAACGTTTGAAACATTTCAGTTTCTTGACATGAAAACTTGAAAGAAACCCAAACTAGAAATCAAGGCCTCAAATAGTTTCAATCCAAAGCTTCATTTGGAGTTGGTGTATACAGTATTTTTTCATATAACACATTAAAAAAACAAGTTTTTTATAATTAATTAATTTTAATTCATGTTTTATATATGTTTAATAATTTTAATTAATATTTTATATATTTTTATAATAATAAAAAAAGCCCATAATTACAATACAACAAACTCAGATGAAGCCTGAGATTAAAAAAAAAAAAAAAAAAGGGGGGGGAGGTCCAAACCCATTACAATGATCAAGTTATTAACTGATCATTAACCGACTGTATAACCCAAAAAAGTCTTGTTTTGTTTGTTGGTTGGCTGGTTGTCAAACTTTAAAGGATACGTTTGGTTGTTAAAAGTGAAAAAATAGTGTAAAGGATATTTTCCTTCCTTGAAACTAAATATACCTTAAAAAATTATTAATAACTGTAAACAATCAATCTTCTCAGTTTGATCATTAATTTTTTTTCACCTGAAAGACCTGATCGAGTTTGTTATTGGTTAACAACATACAAAATTAAAAAATAGTTAATTGTGATTTTGGTTAGGTCAGTTAATTGACTGCACCGATAACCACCCTTGAATTTCCAATTAATTGGACGTTTCACTAAAAACATACAACTATGGTAAGTCTTTTGGCCCTTTTGGATGAGGTTATGATCGCATTATATGTTATTAAAGCCACATTATTTTGAATTCATTTGACTAGTTGACCTTTTCTTTTTCTTTTTTTTTAAGTTTCTTACTCTCCTTCTCAACTCTTTTCATCTATTTTTTTTAATTTACTTTTCTTTTATACTTTTTTCTTTATTTTTTTATTAATACATAAAAACGTTAGATGCTTATTATTATAAAAATTTAAATTTTTAATCTTGATTTTTAATCAAAGATTTTAAATTAATAAATACCAATTCAATAAGCTCTTGTGTTTGTTTTTTTCAATTTTTTTCTCCCCCCCGCATCAAGAAGGATTTTTGGATTTAGGGTCCCTTTGCTATAGCGATTTTGGAGTAACGATTAGTGATTTTACCTAAACCACTAAATATAGGTGTTTGGTAAACTTATATATTTCGAAATCACTACAAATAAAATGTTTAGTAAAATTTTTATTTAACGATTTGAAACTAACGGATAGCGATTAGAGGCCAAACCGTTAGCGGATTGAAAAAGCTAGTTTATGTAGTTTTTTGTACCAAACCGCTAGCAGATTAGAATTTTTTAATTTTATTGACCAATTTATCTATTTTAATTTTT